ATGCACTTGCATTGGATGTTGTTCCGTATAGCCTTATACACTCAAGGAAGGCAAATGGCAGATATCTTAGTTCATTTACGAGGGGGTATTGTGGTCATATTACTACCTTTTTTAGTCGGGTTTGGAACATTTTTTTTAAGTTTATACAAAAATATTAAACGACAGTTATTATTTGAAAACAGAGGGAATGCTGGCTATAACAAAGATGTTTGTGTTCCTTATATGTGAATGCAGGAAAGATTCAAACTGAAATAGGAAAAAGTTGGGCAGCTGAGATCCATTCCAGGCGAAATGCAAGATTCACCGAAGCACAGAACTGATTCTATGTTCCATCTTTCTTTGTAGACATTTCGTGGACCAAATTGCCCTTTTATATTCGGGTTCTTACCCATCTAAACCGCCTATTTCCCCTTTGTTTTAATCCTTTCCACATGTCTCATTTCTGCTCAAGTAGAAGAAGGGTAAGAACAAATCAAAGAGTCTTCCATAATGAGGTCTAATCTGTTCTCTCTCTGCATAGTTCATTACCAGTTTATACCGGCCATAATCTTCTCACATTTGGTGTAGGATTCTCAAGGTGTTAGGGTCTGTTTGGATGAAGTGTTTCGGCGGGGGAAGACCGGATGGCTTTGTCTATGTCTTGATATATAGAATGCTTTTCTTATCATATGAAATGTATATGAAAATAAAACACACTCTAAATGCCCCTCTAAACCCTATTATGCTGTTGTTCATCCTTTCATTTTATTCCATTAATACATTACATTTCAATTTCTTTTAGAATACATAGGTTATTTGATGATTATATTCAAATAAATCACGAGTCGAGTTTCGAATTCATGTTCACTTTTGATTCAAGTTATTTCATGTTTGGCTGTAAAAAAAGTTATTTCATGTTTGAGTTTAGTATTGAGTTTTAATCCAAAAAATAGTGTGAAATGTTAAGTCAACACACAAATTTTCAAATTCCAAGTGTTTCACAGTTCTAATAATTCTATTTTGGTGATACAAATATAGAAGATCTTTTATGTTGGTATGAGTTGTACTATCTTTTACTCTTATTTAGATAAACTTATTTTTAAAGTAAATATAATGTGATTCATACTTCATCTTAATTTTGATTATAATCTTTTTTTCTCACCATTTAAGAATTATTGTTTCATTTCAAACGACATACAATCTTCTTCACAGAGTAAAATTATTTTATTTACAAATTAGCATAGTAGTAAAAAATAAAAAAAATATATTTCAAACTTGCATAAACAATTTATATGGAGTAGATTAAAATGTGATATAAATATATTAATATATCAAATTGTCATAAAAATTGTCTACCGCCCTCCATAAACCCCATGAGTGATGCTTACATGGTCTCGAAGTCTACATTTAAAAATGTGTATTTTCTCACATTTTTCATAGACTTGCATGCAGATGTTTTTTTATCTAAAGGCTCAATTCTTTTATGCTACAAATACACTAAGCTATAAAATAAGCATAGACCTTAGTTTCACAGAAGAATTTTTCATCTCCTTACACCACCCCCCATGGGGCTATGGCCAAGCCACAAGCCTCTCCCCCCATCCAATAATTATTTTTAAAATTCATCTCTCTTGCCTCTAATTTAATTAAAATATATGTTTTTCAAAAAAATGCTAGGGGTACACCAGAAGTGTACCCCAAATGTACACCATCCTCTCCATTACCACTCATTTTGGTATGCAAAATAAAAAAGAAATAAATAAATAAAAATCAGTGGTAATAGAGGAGTGGTATACATTTGGGGTACACCAACTTTTGGTGTATCCCTAGCATCTCTTTTTTTTTTAAAATTATGACATCATTAAGATGGCTTCATGGGGTCTTTATGCATTACATCATTTTTATGTGATGGAGCTTCTAGATGAAGTGGCTGCTACATGACGGATAACGCCCCTCTCGGAGTTCTAGTGGCGGATAACGTCCCTCTCGGGATTTTATGACTACACATGGTCTAAGGGCACTGGCAATGGGTGTAACCCTTGGGGGCGTCATTGCCCTTTTAACACATGAGAGACGTTAAACACAGCCCCCTGGGGCTTCATCCGGGCATCATCCCTACTGCGTCAAACCTTTAACGGATGTTTTTGCAGCGGGCCTCTCCATTCAAACGGCTACAAGCCGTTACAAACTAAAAAATCTCTTATATAAATTAACTCATTTTTAAAAATAAAACTTACAAACAGAATCTCTCTCTTCTTCAAAATAAAAAAATCTTCAATTTTTTTTATCTTTTTCAACATAAATCTCTTCAGTTTTAATATTTCTTAGTCCGGTCTCGAGTCAAACGAGCAAGCGAATATTATCTGCTTTCGAGAGAAGACAGAACGAGATCACGGATAAATATAATTTGCTTTAGGTTTTTAATTAATGTAATTTTTTATTTAAATGCTTTTTTATTTAATGAATTATTGTCGTTTAAATTTAATTATTTAATAAAGTTTTATTAATTTAATTTTATAAGATATATAATAAAAATTTAAAAAATTAAGGTTTGAAACTCAAGTTTGAATCACAGGAGCATCATACCCAAGTAAAACTAAAATGACGTGACAGAGAGAAACTTTGAAGCCCAGAAACTTCAAAAACATTTACAGTCCTCTAAATATTTGTGGATTCCTTTGGCATGCGCTGACCAAGCTGTCCCCACTGCCATTCCTTATTTAAGAAGTCAGGTAAGTAGTAAGGTTTGAAACTCAAGTTTGAAGCACAGGAGCATCATACCCAGGTAAACTAAAATGACGTGACAGAGAGAAACTTTGAAGCTTAGAAATTTCAAAAGCATTTCCAGTCCTCTAAATATTCAAAAAATTGTTGCCAGATACCCCTAGTTTTGTAGTAAGAACTACCAGGTACCTCCAATTTTAAAAACATACTCCCAGATATCCTGAATTATAAAAAAACATACCAAGAGGGGATTTCCATTCATTCTCCATCCATCCCAATTTTTCCGTCAAATTCATCATCATCATCATCACCATCACCATCATTATTAATCCACCACCACCATCTCCATCTTCACTCTTCCTCCTCTTCTTCTTTTTTCTTTTTTTCTTTTTCTTCTTCTTTCTTTCTTCTTCTTTTTCTTCTTCTTCTCCTCCTCCTCCTCCTCCTTCCACTCCGGATCTTCGAAACCCCCAACCTCTCACCCTTATTTTTTCTTCTTCTCCTTCTATTATTATTACTATCATTACTCTCTCCATCCACAAATAAACTTCACGTTCACTATTCACAGGGTCAAACTTTATTCACTTTGTTGGCCTATTTTTGTCACTCATTTGATAAAATAATATAGTCATGTCACCTCTAATTTTGTAGATCTTTTGATATAGTTTTTTAATATATAATTTTTATTTTTAAATTTTACACCATTTTTCATATAAAATGATTTGAAAATAACTTCACTCAAACATCGTAACGCGCAGCCAGGGCCGTCTCCAAGGAATTAGGGGCCCTGCCCGACACGGAGAAAATGCGTCATTGTCTGATAAAAAATTAAAATTTATTAATTAATTTTTTTAATAATATATAACATTGTAGTAATAATAAAATGTCAGACTCATAGTCTTATAAGTTTGCAATTATATACTCCGAACTCTGATACCTGACTGAAGACTCGTGAAGTTGTTCTATTATTCTTGAGAGAAAATAGGTTGATCACCTCTTCATAGTTTATTAGATTTAATGATTTAGGACTGTATTTTTAGAAATAAATCAAGATTATTTTATATAAATAAATATATAAATGTAGGTATACAAAAATTGGGCCCATTCAAAAATGGGTCCTGGCCAAATGACCACCTTGCCCCTCCTTTGAGCCGCCCCTGTGCGCAGCGTAAAGTTTATTTGTGGACGGAGGGAGTATTATTATTAATATTATTATTACTATTACTATAACTATTATTATTAAAAATAATCACCAAGGTTCAAGTGAAATTAGAGGGCAATGTCATGGGATGACCCGGCAGCGCTCCGGTACCCCGTTCGTAAATTTGACGGTGCTCCGGTACCCCGTTCGTAAATTTGACGGTTCCTACCCCCGGTAAACCACTCCACCTAGTCCTGACCCGAACACCTCACCCCACCCCCTTCAATTGCACTCCACAAGTTGATTTTGATTTTGGAGTCAAACCTTGCTATAAAAATAATAGTGAAACTATTATATAATTTTTTAATAATAATTAAAGAAGAATAAGAGAATATTACTTCATAATAATAATAAATAATAGAGGTAGAAGGAAATTATACTTTGTAATAAATAAATATTAATAATTAGTTTTAATATTAAAATTTATTAATATTAATTTTGAATATTAACGATAAAAATTTAGAAGAAGAAAATAATACTTTGTAATAAATAATAATGATAATAACAACAATAATAATAATAATATTATTATTACGTAGTCATAATAAGAATGATGATTTTTTTTAAAACCAAAAAAATGATGATGATAATAATAATAATAATAATATAAGGAGAAGAAGAAGCAATAAGAAGAAGAAAAAGAAGAGGAAGAGGAGGGGGAAGTACGTAAAGATGGAGATGGTTGTGGAATGATGATGAATTTGACGGAAAAATTGAAATGGATGGAAAATCTCCTCTTGGTATGTTTGTTTATAATTCAGAGTACTTGAGAGTATATTTTCAAAATTGAAGATACTCGAACAAAATTAAGGGTACGGGCAATTTTTTGTCTAAATATTTGTAGATTCCTTAGGCATGCGCTGACCAAGCTGTCCCCACTGCCATTCCTTATTTAAGTCGTGGGATGACACTACCATTACAAATCAGATATGTTACTCCGTCAAACGATTTAAAAAAACTCCCAATACTGTAATAAACTCGGCTTGGTAAAAAAAAAACCAAAGAATAATGCCGCGGTTATAATGATTCTCCTTCTCTGGTCGTCGGACACTCTCATTTCAATATTCATCACTTGTTCACACTAAATTCACAGAGACCCCATTTTGCGTGTATTGGGTTTGATGATTTTGTTTATTTTTTGAAGAAGTGCTTCTCCAGTTAATAAAGGGCATTTTCTCCCCCCCCCCATTGTGTACGATAAAGATCGGATTTGATTCCGTTGAGCTTCACGCTGAAGCCTCCCCCCAGTCTTTGGTGCGAGGAGAGAGTTGAAAAGGTAAAGTTGGGATCAATTTGATTCGAGCTGAAATGGCCCTTCGATTCCTACAGGGGTGACTGTTGTTCTTGTTCTGCATTGCTGAATCAGTGGTGTGCAACTGGGGTTTGGGGTTTTTGTTTTCTTGGGATTTCTTGATTTGGTCATACCCGAATTTGCGATCCCGGGTAGTTCTTGCTCGCTGGCGTAGAAAGGTGTTTGCTTTGCTCTGGCACGCCAAGTGTTTGATGATTTGTCTGATTGAACTGTGGAACTTGGGTGTCTGAATTGTTCGGGTGTATGTAGAATGTGGGGGATTGATTTGTTTTTTTCATCAGTACTGGAATTGTCTGAAACTTCAAGCTTGACTGGAAATTGTTGAATCTAACAATGCATCATCATCATCTTAGGAATGGTTAGATTTGGCTAAAGAAGCTTTGATACTGAAATGTCTGGTAGCAGTTCATCTCTAGATTCTGCACAATCTCCTCTTTCACCAACATCTTATGTCCCACCCCCACAGCAGAGTTCTCCTTCGCAGGACCCCTCTTCTGGGTCAGATGACACCAACAATGCTCCTCCGTCTTTACCGCCACAATCAAATCCTTCCATTAATGTGACATCAACTCCTCCCATCACAGCATCTCCTCCTATGGCTTCGCCTTCTCCACCTGCAGCATCCCCCCGGCCAACCAGTCCCCCACCTTCAGCCTCCACTCCTCTGCCCGGATCATCAGACTCGCCACCACCAGCTAGTTCCCCACCACCGCCTGCTGATCCTCCTGCTACTTCCTCACCGCCTCCCCCTTCTGATATTCCGAGTAACTCGCCTCCACCCCCACCTTCTGATCCTCCTGCAAATTCACCACCTTCCGATCCTCCTGCTAGTTCACCACCACAGCTGCCACCTTCTGATCCTCCTCCTAGTTCACAACCAACGCCGCCTTCTGATCCTCCAGCTAGTTCACTGCCACCGCCTTCTGATCCTCCGGCTACTTCACCACCACCACCACCACTGCCTCATACATCTAGTCCTCCACCCCATGTCGAGCCCCCAAAAAATGGGACTTCACCGCCCTCAAACTCTCCTGTCACCCCGCTTCCACCCTCTACTCAGCCACCACCATCATCCAAGCCACCACCATCATCTAAGCCACCTCAAAATTCCCCTCCAACACCAACAGCTGAACCGCCTAAGAATTCAACTCCACCGTTACCATCCAAGCCACCCCAGAGTACACCGCCATCTCCAGAAACCAACCCTCCAAGAAGTTCACCCGCTCCGCCAGCATCAGTACCCCCTAATAAGCCTCCTGGAAACCCAAATATTGTCCCATCACCACCTAGTCCACAAGCAGGACGCCCACCAGAAGGAATAGTACCATTGTCACTACCCCAAAGTCCCCAATCTCCTCCTCCTTCAAGTAAACCTTCTAACAATAGTTCTAATAATGATGGTGGGGGTATTGGTACCGGAGGGACTGTAGCCGTTGGCTTAGCACTTGGCCTTCTATTGCTTGGTGTTATTGGAGTAGCAGGATGGTGCATATGGAAGCGTAAGAAAAAGGCTTATGGACTGACCGGTGGTTATATTTTGCCAGCCTCTCTCGGTTCTTCTCCCAAATCTGGTAAATTATAAAAAGCTTTTGTATCATTATTGAATCCAATAAGCGTCCTTTGTGCACTGTTTTGCAATATTGTTCCGTCCGTCCCAAAAGAAAAGCCCTGCTTGAAGGACTTTTTAAGTTTTTTCCTAAGATCAAGTTTGGTTTTGAGAATCAAATTTAATTTTAAAAAGTAAAATTCACACAAAGCCAAGCAGCAAGCAGTTTTAGTTAATTACTCCAAACAATATTGAAAACACACCTAATATAGAACGTGTTTGGTTTAACAAGGAGTATCTGTTGTTTGGTTAAAAAAATCTCCGAAATCCACTATTGAAACCCCACCAAACATATCCCTCATACCCCAACTCCTTTGGTTTGGAAACCTATTCTAACACAAATATTTGATGCCTTCATTCTCAACTGAACCACTATTGCTCATGATGCCACTGCCACCAGTAGAACAACATCAGGCAAGCTTTGCCATCGAGCTACAACCCTATTTTTATTCCCGGATACAAACTAAACACTTGACATCATCTATCATGCCTAATCTTGTACCTTCTCAACTCCTTTTTTATTCCAACCCTTGAAGCCTCAATCTCCTCAAGGTATAATAAGTGGCTATTCATAGCAACTTGTAAAATCTTGTACCTTGATTGAGTTTACTAAAAACAAAAATTGTACCTTACTCAAATAGGACTCTTTTTTTGGGAACAGAGGGAGTACATGATTTAGTCTTTGAAATACAATTTTAGAAAAACTGTGACATTTGTGCAGATTCTGCCATTTTAAAAGTGCAAGCATTAGCACATGGTTCAGGAGGTGGTTCTGGTACTGAGTTTGTTGATTCACCGAGGGAACATGGTGCATTTGGAAATTCACGGTCATGGTTTAGGTATGAAGAACTACAGGAGGCAACGAATGGTTTTGCAGAACAAAACCTTTTGGGTGAAGGTGGGTTTGGTGCTGTGTACAAAGGATACCTTGCAGACGGGACAGTGGTAGCAGTAAAACAATTAAAAATTGGGGGAGGACAGGGTGACCGTGAATTCAGAGCAGAGGTTGAAACCATAAGCCGTATTCATCATCGCCACTTGGTCTCTCTAGTTGGTTATTGCATCTCTGAGAACAAACGACTCCTCGTTTATGATTATGTCCCTAATGATACCCTTCATTTCCATCTTCATGGTAGATGTCTTTTTTTGGACAGATGTCATTTTAAATTTTAAGAATTGATTTGCTTGCTCGATTAGTAATCCTGTGTGTTGCCCTTTCCATTTGCAGGAAATGGGGGCGCAGTTATGAATTGGCCAACACGTTTAAAGATTGCCATGGGTGCTGCTCGCGGAATAGCTTATCTCCATGAAGATTGTGAATACTATTTTCTTTCTCTATTTGATTCATTGTGTTTCATCTCATGTCTATGTGCATTTTGTTTTTTTATAACTGATAAAGAACTAAATTATGTGGGTCTTCCATTTAAGAACATATGCTGGTGGGTAAATTAAATAGTAAAATTAGTTGTGGGATTGGGTTTACGTGTATTATTCTAAAAAGGATTGTTAAATTACTCAAAATTAAGTTGACACTTGGTCCTCAATTAATATTCGTCTCTCATAAGCTTTCTTCAAGAAAATATATGAGAAAATGGAGACGTAATTTTTTTAAATACATAGGTGTAGAAGTGCGCTTCAGTACACTATGTTGTTGACAACGAGCTCTAAATACTCTAACTAAGGGATTGTTTGGTTGAGGCTTTTTGAGGGGGGGATTAATTTTGTTGTACTAATTTATTGCTATTTGTAAGTCTTAGGGTGAAAATAACTACTCCCCCCTAAATAAACATCCTACTTTCCTTTTTCAGTGGTCCCTTAAAAATGTCTCATTTAATTTAAGAAATGAGTGGTTCACATTATTTTTCTCCTTTGTATAAACCTCCACCATATAATTTCATTTCTTCTTAAACCCCGTTAAAGTCAACCCAGGACATTTATTCAAGGGCGGAGGTAGTATATTTTAATTTCAATAGTTCATTTCCATTTAATTTTTGATGTTCACTGTCTCTCCAACCATCTAATTGTAAGAATAGAGTAATAGAGTAAATATCACTTGTCCCCTTCCCTTCCCTCCAAAATCCTCCGACCAATCAAGGGATATACTAATATACACTTAAAGCAGCAGAAGTCAGTCACACACGTTTTTTTTGTGCTCTAAGGTGTAGATTGTTGATTACTATGTTGTCAATCATTGTTTTTCATTGATTTCCTGTTGTATGGACTGCAGGCCATCCACGGATTATCCATAGAGATATTAAGTCATCAAACATTCTTTTGGACGAGAACTTTGAAGCTAGGGTATGCACTACCAGCACTTACATTCCAGCTTTTCTTGATTGCTGCCTTCTGTAAACCTCTCATGGTTGGGTTGTTTACTGCAGGTTTCAGATTTTGGATTAGCTAAGTTAGCTCTTGATGCAAACACACATGTTACAACGCGTGTGATGGGAACCTTTGGGTATGTCATTTGTTATTAATCTCATTGCCAAATAAATATCAAAACGGAACTATTAGGAAGCAAAGTTTTGTTAGATATTTGCATTTGACATTAGACATGCTATTCTAATTACTCCATAATGCGTAATGTGTAAACATAATTAACACTCCCTCCCAAAAAGCGAAGGCATGTTTCAAGGAATTCTTTTCCCATTAAAAAAGTCTAGTTCATGTTATAGTTTTAGTTAAACCAACAAGATTTAAAACGATAATCATAATTCATCATTTATTACAATTATACCTTACCAAAATTAAAAGGGTTTAGGGTTTATACTGATCAAACATAACTCTTTTATTGGGACATAGGCATAATTGCCTAATTAATATATGTCTTCCTTCTCCAACACCATATGCATCCAATTATGGTAGTGTGACACATACCTCAGTAGTCAACACTGATTTCTTTAATTGGTTGGGCTCAGATACATGGCTCCTGAATATGCATCAAGTGGCAAGTTGACAGAAAAGTCTGACGTGTACTCATTTGGGGTTGTGCTTCTGGAGCTAATAACTGGACGCAAGCCCGTTGATACATCTCAGCCTTTAGGGGAGGAGAGCCTGGTTGAGTGGGTATATGCTTGTGGCCATACTCTTTGCTTCTGCTTTTTAGTTTATCAGCTGAAATGATCTTCCATTCAAGTATACATATGCCGAATTACACATATGTGCCATTTTATAAGTCCACTTTCGTTGTTGGTTTGTCTCACACTTGTCCAATTTTCTGAAATCTAACTTTTAACATTTTCAAAGTTACTCTTTTATGGTTGGCATGTTGACTTAGTTCCACAACTTTTGATTAACGTTACCCACATTTAGAGGTTAAAATTCAAAAATTGATCACTTATAGGATCTTTAATATTTATGTTAAAAGCAATATTGCTTGGGACAGAGTAAGTAATATACTCCCTTCGTCCCATAATAAAGTTTACACTTTGACTCCGAAGAAGTTTCAGAAAAGTGTCGAGAAGTACAAGATGTGTGGGTGGAATTTGTTTACAACAGAGAGAAATGTTAATAGGGAAAATGTAAAGTTTATTTTGGGTTGTACAAAGGAAAGTTTAAACTTCATTGCAGGGCGGAATGCGTGCATGTCATTTATCCAACTTTTATATTGCTAGTACTGCAGTGTGCATGTATATTTTCCATGACCTAGTTATCTAGTTCTGAGGCCGGGACCTTTTGCGTGTTTTTAGCTTTTGTTATGTAGATGCCAAATAAATGGCCCAAGAATTGATAAAATATCAGTTTCTTAGGTAGCCTAAGAGTTGAATTTTTTTTACACATCTAACGTTTAGAGGTAGCCTAGTTTGCCTAAACGTCCTAAATATTACCCTAAACGTCCATAAATTGGAGTGCAATGTCCTAAACGTCCTAAATTTTTACGGAGTAGTAAGTTAGCGACTCCTAAACGTCCATAAATTGGAGTGCAATGTGATATAATGTTTTGGAAGCGGATGGTGACGGAAAGAGGTGTAGTGAACTAAATATTACCCGCCTTCGTTACTGCTAAAGCAAACATTATCTGTGACACTGAAAAGCTCCATGTAATGATCTGTGTTTCCCTTCATGGAAGAAGAATTAAAGCATTATCTCTGATGGTTACAGGCTCGTCCTTTGCTGAGCCGTGCTCTTGAAAGTAAGGACTTTCAGCATCTAACAGATCCAGGCCTGGACAAAAGTTATGTTGATAGCGAAATGTTCAGAATGATTGAGGCAGCGGCAGCTTGCATTCGCCATTCTTCTGCAAAAAGACCACAAATGGGACAGGTAACTATTACTCCGTATCACTTATCATCAATTCATCATAATATCCTCGCAAGATATGTGCTCTTCTGGGACGTTAGAGAGTGTCACCGATTAAGAAAAGTAAGATTGTATGGTTGATATTGATGTTAAAAAGTAAGATAAAGTAAAAATGGATTTGAAACACACAAACATGACAAAATATGGTATGAGACAAGTAGTGGGACGGACGACACAAGGTTAAAAAGGGACAAAAATAGTGGGACAGAGGGAGTATTAGTTATGTTGGAAGACTATATTACAAGAAATGTTGCAAAATTCTTTCAGGTTGTGAGATCTTTGGAGAATATGGCCATCTCCGACCTCACAAATGGAATGAGACTCGGTGAAAGTGAAATATTCAACTCTGCAGAACAATCTGCAGAGATAAGAATGTTTCGAAAGATGGCATTTGGGAGTGGGAACTACAGCACTGATTTTTTCCAGCACAGTAACTGATTCGTCGCGGGGTAAATAACTGTAGTTTGATCTGTTGATGATTAATTGATAACCAAACGAGAGTTGGGTGAAGGGTACATATTTTTGTCTGAGATCACCACGAGAGGCAGGTTTTTGCGTTTGGAACCATGAATAGATTTTTAAGGTAGAAGCCTAATTAGTTTCTCTTTTTTTATATCCTTTTTCTAATGTATTCATAATACATAATGTACTATATTACTATTATTCTTTGCAGAGATTTTTCTTGCAAGTAGCTGGATACAATCTTATATTACCCATACACACACGCGCGTGCGCGCGCATACACACACATACATTCACACACACACATTCATTGTTCTAATAGATGTACTAATTTATGAAGTTAGTCTTCTCCTTTCTAGTTTTATTTATACCCTTTGGAGAAATAATTAGGAACACTTTGGAGCTTAGGAAACATGACAAGAGAATTAGGAACCTATCCTTATTGCAACAAAATATATTTTTGCAAGTATACGACACTCCGTTTGGGGTATCTATGGTGTTCTGTTCTTAGAATTGATTATTCCCCTAACCCCTCCTACCCACCCCATGTGCCCACCCTAAAAATGCCGATAGGGGGCAAGGGGCGGGGGTCTCGAGGGATGAACAATCAACTAATTGTACAAACAAAACACCGTAGGTATTCCAAACAAAGTGTTATACAATTGTAAAATTGTTGCACGCAAATATTGTTGTAACAATAAGTCCCTTATAAAAATTTGTTTTGATGAGGTTATAAATAAGAGTGATTTTTGTAAGATTTGATGAGTAATATGTTGTAATTCATCTAAATTACGTAACATAGTTAAGTAGATGTGATTTGGATGATGTTTGGGGATTTGGAGTTCGTGTAGCATGCATTGGATGTTGGCATAAGCACAAGTTTCCCAAAACTTATTTTACACGTTTATGTTTTTGTATACACTTAAAATATGCACATTATAGGACTAATGTATGTACATATAATAATTGTACAATGCCTATTTCGCTGTTAAAAAATATTTCCATTTTGTTGCTAATAACACTTTCGGTTCACAAAAGAATAAAAGTAAAATCTCAAAATAAAATTACAAAAAGTGCACAATTATTATCTTTATTCATACCCAAACTAGTGTATATGTGTACAATTATGAGTTACATAATTCTTATTAGGGGAAGGTTTCCATGACATTGGTTCTCCCATGACATTGGAAACCAATGTCATGGGATGACACGGGGGTGCTCCAGTGCCCCGTTCGTAAAATTGACGGTTCCTACCCCCCTAACCCCCGGTAAACCCCCCACCCCGCCTCGACCCAAACACCCCCCCACCCCCCTTCAGTTGCACCCCACAAGTTGATTTTGACTTTGGAGTCAAAATTCGATTCCAAAGTCAAAATCAACTTGTGAGGTGCAATTGAAGGGGGTGGGGGGTGTGTTTGGGTCGGGGCGGGGTGGGGGGTTTACTGTGGGAGTTAGGAGGGGTAGGAACCGTCAATTTAACGAACGGGGCACCGGAGCGCCCCCGGGTTATCTCATGACATTGATTCCCAATGTCATGGGAAACAAGGTTTTCTTGGGGAAGGTTCTCATGACATTGGAAACCAATGTCATGGGATAACCAAGGTCATCCCATGGGAACCAAGGTTTTCTTATTTAATGTATTTAAAAAACATTGGTTCCCATGACATTGGGAACCAATGTCATGGGATGATCCGGGGCGCTCCGGAGCCCCGTTCGTAAAATTAACGGTTCCTACTTCCGGTAAACTCCTCACCCGCCTCGACCTGAAACTCCCCCACCCCCCTTCAATTGCACCCCACAAGTTGATTTTGACTTTGGAGTCAAAATCAACGTGTGGGGTGCAATTGAAGAGGAGTGAGGGGGTGTGTTCTGGTCGGGGCGGGTGGGGGGTTTACCGGGGGGTTATGGGGTAGGAACCGTCAATTTTACGAACGGGACACCGGAGCGCCCCCGAGTCATCCCATGACTAATGTCATGGGAACCTTCCCCATTTAAAAATAGATGTACCTGGATGTATTTCTCAATGATTTTTTTAATAATTGCCTTCCATCATTACAAGAAAAATTAAAATGAAATATGATTAAGAAAATAGGAATCCTGGCTTGGAAGACACGTTATTACAGAAGGACCAGATGATGTTGTCTTCAAAGTTAGAAAACATATTTGTCAAATGTCAAAAAGACCCTTTGGTTTTCAAAAAAAAAACCTTTGAATCTCTGGCTTTAGCTTATTGCTTCACACTACAAAAAAACCATCAAGGGGACAAGGAACATACTATTCATGTGGACAAAGAATGCCTTCCCTTTGACATTCTTCTCATCCCAAAACACTTCTCTCTCTCTCTCTCTGTCTCTATCTCTCTCTCAATTTCTCTCTGTGTTACAGAGAAGAATGGAAGACCGAAATGCCCTTGTTGCAGACTGCATTGTGGTATCATGCTGCTGCCAATGCTTGCTTCTCCAGCTCGTCGTCTTCATCTTGCTCAAGCTTCCCTCGGGGATGATTAGGAGGGCAAAACGGTACGTGAAAAATCTGAGAACCCGAAACAGGGAAGGCAAGGGTTTACAGGTAAAAACACGCTACGGGGAAGAAGAAGACGAGAGCATGAAAAGGAGTCAGATTCATCATGTTGATGCCTTCTTCTCATTCAGCGGGTCATGTTGCATGGATGAAGTTGAGAGGGTTTTGGATGAACTCTCTCAGAATGGTGAATTTGCTTTTGGAAGCTTTTGGGGTGGGGATTTTCACTTGCCAATCAAAACAAGAAGTGGACAATGATCTTTGTCATGTTGATTCGATACAAACGTAACTTCGTTAGGTCGATATGATATTGTCTGCTCTTGGTCAAGTCCTGACAAATTTGTTTTTGAACAACTCCCCAGAGGCGTGTTGGATGAGTTCGTATATTCAAAGCCGTCTTCTCATCATTTTTTTAACGTGAGAACACCCAAGGAAGGCGGGCACGGGGAGTTTCCAATACAAACACAAACTTTCGCGAATGTGCCACAATAGAATCTCAAAAAAGAAAGTGTTGTAACATCTATTTTAGCCACATATAATGCAAAAGCCACTAGTTTTGATAAGTGGAAATAAACAAAAAAAAGAGTCAAGAAATAAATGGGTGATTCTTTATTGCTACAAAATGAGTACAAAAGTGTGGAGAGGGTAACTTCAAACAAAAATGAACCCTCCTTGAAACAATTTTACAGAGTAGAATGAAAGAATACTGCCAAGTAGAGGTAAAGTCTGCGTAAATATTTCCATCTCATACCCCCTTTTGTCTGTCGAATTTTACGGCATCTGTTATTGTTGTTGTAATGAAATTGTTGTTGTAATGAAAGAATACAAGACCTAAATTGCAAAATTTGAAAGTTGTGGCATCTGTACACAAACATCTACATATGTACACTATGGGTTGTAGATATTTACGCCGCGCGTTACCTGGACTCGTGATTCCCGTCTTCCAATGGATTGGTCCTCGCCAGAGAACGGGCTGTGAAGCCCACAGTCGTGGGCCTGATGGACCTCTGACGGACCATATTGCAATACTCTGGGTCCTCGACCCGCCCCTCGTACCTCAACCACTGTATCATCCCGTGATACATGGGGAAAAATCTCATTTGTATGGCATTATACGAAAAATAAGGGACCAAAGCCGCAATGACTACAAAGAGAGTGACCCCCCAGTAAATAGGGGCCGGCGCAAGGGCTTCTAAGAAAACTTTGTACGCCGTGGTGGAGATTGTCACAGATAACTCTCCGTACACGATGAGGAAGAGGTACCACAAGGCTATGCCGCCCCATATGAAGACGTGTTGGATCAACGTGAAGTAGCTGACCGCGAGTGCCATCTGGACGTTCACCACCCACACGACACACGTGTACATTGTGGTCCCCACGGCAGCATATCCCGCGACTTTCCCGTCCCTTTTGTAGGCTTGGGGGTCAAGGGCATTTATGCAAAGGTAGAATATGATGACCCCCGAGCAAAGGCCGTTGAGCATCCACCCGATTATACGACGCCATGAGAAGAGCACATTTTGAACCCCTTCTTGATAAAGTAAAGGAAACTGCAAGAGAGAATGGAGGTACATATATAAATAAACAAGAGTGCCACATAAATGTAGGGCTACATACCCTATAGTGTGCATTTTTTTACATACCTTTAGACAAAACCGAGCAGAGACGTCTTGATCGAAAACCCCCAAGGCTATAACGGGGAGTGATGTGAAGAAGACATTGTAGAGCGAAAGAAACCAATCATTATATGCGGGTTGTCCCGAGAATGATGCATGTGCCTCGTACAAGAACACGGTCGCGCCAAAGGTGATATTTTTGTAGAAGAAATAGCATATCTGCAACATGAACAATGCGATATATAAATATTGAATCAACAGTATTTAATACGTAGTACTTCCTCAAAACAATATGGAAGAAATCAATAATAATAATAATAATAATAATAATAATAATAATAATAAAATTAATTACCATTGAAGAGATCCGTCTGTAACACCAATGTCCATGCACCAGAAGTAGTCGCTCCAAGAACCGAAATTGTGCAATTGCAACATCACTTGACATGACAGCCTGTTATTGAAGGGTAATTAGAGATCAGTTTGGTAAGAATTATAATTTGGTTGGAAATACATGTTTTTAAGGAAAAAATGTTTGGTAACATCTCTTTGAGTTCGAATAAGTGAGAAAGGCTATAGGCATAAATAATAATAATAATAATAATAATAATAATAATAATAATAATAATAATAATAAATGCAGAACTGGGTATACGAAACAGGTCATTACAAGAGAAAGCTCATAGATTAGTTAGTACCTGCATTCCTTCAACACCACTTATTCCAATTCCAATATCTGCTTCTTGGAGCATTCCTACATCGTTTGCTCCATCTCCGACAGCCAAAGTCGTTTTCCCAGTTCCAGTCTTCACAAGCCTTGTAACCTGAATGTTCCGGAACATTTCATTTCAAGTAGAGAAAAATGAATATTCAAAAACAAAACAATAATAATGATGATGATGAATATGGTTTGCATTACAACTTACCAATGCCTTTTGCTTTGGTGATGAACGGCAGCATATAACAGAAGCGCACCGAACTGCAAGCTCTAAAAACGAGTTTTTTATGTCATCTTCCAATGCGTATGTAAGAGTCTTTCCATCAACGATTAGAGCAAAAGCCTCGTTGTTTGACGCGGTGACCAAAGCTTTCCCGTCGGTTATTTGCTTGGCAACAATTCTCTTTGAGGCCTATAAAAAAAATTATGGAGATTCACTCGTGGAAATACAAAAGAGTAAAAAAAACTGTTTGGAGAGGCGTTTATTTACCGTTGCTGCCTCCTTTTTGTCCCCAGCTCTCTCCAGCGCCACGATTTCAGGGGAATCTAAATTTATAACTATTTGCTTCATTCCTTGTCTAAGCAAACTACACGCGTATCTGCAAAACAAAATTTTGAGTCAATCGCTATTTTTTTACAAGTGATTAGCACCATGAAAACTCCTAGATTACATATATTTATATACCCAATATTAATGGCTGTTTCCATCTTATCTCCCGTCAAAACCCATATCTTTATCCCTGCTTGGGCAAGCTTGTCGATGCACTCGGGAACCTACCAAAAAAAGCACAACATAAGTACACTCTTGGCTAAAATATGTAAGGAATGATAATATATAAGTTACCCCTGTGAATAGTAAACGTAAAGATTGTTTGGGGGGATATTTGTAATGAGGAAAGAGTAGCAATGTGAAATGTCTTAAAACTCACCCCTTGTTGGAGTTTGTCCTCAACAGCTGTTGCGCCAAGAAGAATCAAATCCTTTTCAACCCTTTCAGTCACTTCGTCAATCATTGCATCACGATCAGCGCTGACCAAGTTCTTGGCCACTGAAAATTGTTCCTCGAACGCTTTATATTCTTCCTCAGAGAGCTTGCGATAAGCAAGAATCAAAGTCCTCAGGCCAGCATCTGCATACTCGTCTACGTGCTTTTTGGTGGCTTCTTCAAACTCCCTTCCATTTATAGCCAGCCTTTCGAACATGACACTGCTCCAAAAACACAGAAAGTTTAAAAAAGGAAACATAACAACAAACAAACAAACAAACATCTTAGTCTTACTATACCTATCGGCGCCTTTACAGAGTAGCAATATCTTTCCTTCCTCATCTCTAACAATCACAGACATCCTTTTTCTTGTACTGTTGAACTCCAAAACATTCAAAATTTTATATGACCTGCTTCCATGAACATTTAAGTGTACATATGCATTAGTTTAACTGTATAACCAATTCTATCATATATTCATGATAGCGTGAAAATCAACAAGATCATTCCTTTATTATTTTGATATTTTATTTATTTTGCTGAAAAGGGATGTTACCAAAAAGGGGACAAGATCTAAAAAAAGTGGGAAAAGAATTTAATATGTACTAACCTCTCGATTCTTTTCCCAGATGGGAGATCCAACTCGGTCACTGAGACGCTAGTTTGAGTCCTTTTATTGAATTCAAACCCAATCTCCCTAGCGGCGATCACGAAAGCTGCTTCGTCTGGAGACTCAGCCTCATAAGAAACCTTTCCAGAATCATCATCCACTTCAGGTATGACAGTGTGGCACACTGCCAACAAGCGGAAAAACTTCTGTATCACATCAAAGTGGGGCTCATGAATCCATTCCCCATCCATGATCCGTTCGTCCTCAAAGTTGAAGCCCTTCACAGATGATTTGCTCACAATTTCTGGAGAATAATCATCAACCTCCCTACCGTTAACGATCAAAGGAGATCCTTTCCTCATAGCCATAGCCCTTTCAACCTCAGTAATGCCCCTTCCGTAGGCCATTCCAGCTACAGAACACTTAACAAACTCCATCAGATTGCAGGTTAGTGTCCCAGTCTTGTCCGAAAGAATTGTGTCCACTTGGCCAAGTTCCTCATTCAAATTTGAGGTCCGGGCGTTTGCTGGTTTATCCGTTTCTTCATAATACATATTTATGTCTCTATTTATGAAGACACTCTGAAGAACCTTCACAACCTCTATGGAAACGTACAATGAGATTGGGATCAAGTAGCTGTAGAGCATCAGAGCTGTTAAAAAGTGGTAAATTGCAGCAGCTGGAGCACGGTTTGGATCAAAGAAAATGTCAGACTGGTCTGGTTTTAAATACCACCGTTTCTGCCCATCGTCTAAATCCTCCTTGGTGACAATCCCAAAGTAGATTGACCCAAGTAAGGCCATGGCGAACAAAACTGCAAACAATACGTATATGATTTTGTCCATTTTCTTCTCTATCTTGCTTCTCTTTGAAGGTGGGTCCGTGGCATTCTGCATAACCTTAGTGTCATGGCCTGCGAAGATAACCACCCCATATATGTATTCCGTGTTTCTTAACTTGGAGTCTCTTAAAAGGAGTTGTTGAGGAGAAAGGGCATATTGTTCCCCTTCAAACTCCATGCTTCCAACGTAAGTATATAAACTTGCATTTGGATCTTCACATTTAACCAAAGCTTTGAAATCAAGAAATTTGGGGTCTTCGGTTAAGAACGAGGTTAGCTCTAAGCCCTGTTTGAGCTTCAGATTAGTCTCCCCGTCAAGATTCATCGTCTCAACATAACAGATTGCATCTTCGTAACTCGAAGAAAGCAAAAGAATGTCAGCTGGAAAAAATTCGTCCTTTTGCACCTTAACAACATCTCCCACTTTCAAGTTTCTCCATTCTGTGTCCTCAAAGGCTCCATTTCCTTTATGTAGTTTCACTTTTCTTCCATTCACCTCCATATCCTGAAAAAAAAGTGCTTTTAGAAATTAGAACTGATCATATAAGATATAATCTGTGCCCATCACAAAAAAGAATGAGTCACCCTATGATTAACTTCCAAGAATCATGTCCGGCATCAGGTGGAAAAATCACTTTTTTAATGCAGAATCTTTATCAAGTAACACCAAGTTTACAAATAAATGGAAGATCCAGAAAATCACATCTTTAATTAAGTTCCCCAAAACAAGCTCTTTACATTTTATCCAATTCCTAGATGAGATTTTATATTCCAAAACTGTATTCTTATATACTTTCTATTGAAACTCTTAAATACACATGACTATAACCAATAAATACTAGATCAAATACATTTAAGAAAATAATAGATATCTATCCCCAAAACTTAAAAAACTAGTAATGATTGGGTACTTGAGATATTTGGACTTAATTCAAGATCCAAAACAAACAAATAAATAATACTTGAGAGGATAAATACTACACACACACACACTGTCACACACACACACACACACACACAGAGAGAGAGAATAAAAAACCTGCTGTTTTCTATGCCAGTCTTCAATACCCTCTTTGATCATTGTTGCCCCAATCACAAAGATAAGAGGAACAACAGCACTGGTAGCAGAATAAGGAGCCAGGTCAGTGAAGGCCAATATCCCTACAACAAGGAAGAAGAAGTTTGCCACTCTCCTGAACTGCTCAAACAAAGATTTGGGCAAGAAAGTTGCAGCTGTGTACTTTGTAGTCCTAACATAATTCCCAGAATAATTCTTCAAACCAGCCTCCAAAGCATCCGAATCATTGCAGAACACCACTCTTGAAAACCCTGGCCCACCAATCTGTGAATGGTCTTCTCTGCTGAATGATGCCCTCCCACATCTAAATGAATAGATCTTGCTCAAATGCAGCTTTCTTCTTCTTCCAGTCCTCATTTCCCTCCAAAAATCTCCACTTTTCCCCTCAAAGATTCGATTTTTTTTCACTTTCTCCAATTCCCAGAAGCTCAAAGCCCTTTCAAATCCTCCCAAAATCACACAACCACAGAAAGAAAAACAACACCACTCCACTCGATATATCTCAAGGATACACGCGCGGATAGATACAAAACCTAAAAGAAACTGGGTATTGTTTCTGTATGAGGGTGGGAGTGGGGGAGGGGTCGGAAAAAGATTCAGAAAGAAAGAAAAAAAACAACCAAAAGCTAATGGCACCCAGTACCCACAAGAACAATTGAGCTAACCAAGCTGAACAACACCAAAAAGATCCAATCTTTACTGCAAACACACGAATATTTCAACTTCTTGGATGAAGAAAGGATTGAAGTGAAATAATGAAGAGAAAGCAAAACAAGGAACTTGTCCTTATATATACACACACTATATAATAATGTTTTTTGTGTCACAATTGGTGGGAAGATTTTTCCATTGGCATAAATAAAAGCCTTGAAGGCTTGAACATTGACTTTTTCTCTCTCTCTCTCTTTCTCTCTGTATTGTTAACCCGTTATTGACTGACTGAACAAAGTTTTGCTAGCTTTCAACACGCGCTAAATGGTCTCTCGAAGGTCTAACTTCCAAAAATAATTTCAAAATGTATCCAGTAGATCGTTTACCCAAAAAAGAAAAATCCAGTAAATAAATACCAGAAGATTTAGGTAAATGTAAGAGATCGTTGATAAGAAATTAGCTAGGTGCGGTAAAGGTTAAAAGGATTTAATGGGTATGAATGAGGTTGGTGTAATCTGATTATCTCCCCCTTTGAATTTGAATAAAAAAAACATTTTTACAATGGGGAATTTCCCAGTAAAAGACTGTAATTTTACAATTCTTGAGTTTTCTTCTTCGTAGATCTATGGGATTGGTCTTCTCTCCCCGTGTTGTTGGAAACTTGTAAGTTGACCTGGCAAAAAGTGACCCGACCTGTTTTTGATCCGAAATCCGATCTGAAAACACTGGGTTTTGAACAAAGGTTTTGATTACCGAACCCAAAGTTGACCGAACCCGAAATGACCCGCTAAAAATGGGTCAAACCCGACCGGACCCGAACTCGACCTGACCGACCCGCTAAACTAAGAATTTTTCAAAATTATACACTTTTTTTACTTGTTTTTAGTGTATAAATTTATATTTTCAGACAAAATTTTAATGATATTGCATAATTATCTTACTATTTTCCAAAACTTAAACATTTTTAAATTCCTTATATTGATTTATATATCTAAAAACTACTTTAGAGTTTAAAATAATATAATTTTATAGATTTAGTACTNCTCGACCTGACCGACCCGCTAAACTAAGAATTTTTCAAAATTATACACTTTTTTTACTTGTTTTTAGTGTATAAATTTATATTTTCAGACAAAATTTTAATGATATTGCATAATTATCTTACTATTTTCCAAAACTTAAACATTTTTAAATTCCTTATATTGATTTATATATCTAAAAACTACTTTAGAGTTTAAAATAATATAATTTTATAGATTTAGTACTTTTTTTTTATATTTTAAATTTATTTAATAGAAAAAATGTAAGTGTTAATGTGAATTTAAAAATTTAAAAAACCAAAGTCATAACCCGTTAGGTCGACCCGAACCCGATGACACTGGATCATGAACATACAGTTCTCAACCCGAACCCGAATTAACCCGAACCCGAAATAACCCGAACTTGAAGTGACCGAACCCGAACCCGACTTGACCGACCGATTTGCCAGCTCTACTTCTAAGAGAAAAAGACAGAAAATATTGAGATGTGGCAAATTCTTACAGTATATGCGTATAAGTGCTCATAAACCTGATAAGCATTTTTTTTTAATGAATAAGCATTTACTTGAGATAAGTATCTTTTTTTGAAAAAGATTATTTATTTAAGAAAATTTATCTTAAATAATTTAACCTTTTCACGCTCCTCTAAAAATAATTTGATTTTCCATTGTTACGGAAAATAATCACACATTTCTTCACGTGCGCGAGTTTTGGATCACTGTTCTAACCGTTACTTAACAAAAAAAATTAGAAAATGCTTATTTTTTACAAATAAATAGAAGATGAAAGTATTTTTGGTAAAACATTTCTTTTCTTTTTTTTAAATTTCTAAATTTAAATGTATTTTTTGAATTTCTTTTTATAAATAATACCAAATTTAAGTTTTTTTTAAGAGTGACACTAATTATTTTTTTCAATAATCGATAATCTGGTAATATTTCAAAAGTTTTGAAATTGCATAATATATTTTTCTACAGAATGAAACTAATTTATTTATTCCACAACTCACTACATTTTCTGTATAAATGTTTTTTGCAAAACAACATTACAACAATTGTGAAAATAATCAATAATTTTTTCTTTAAAATGGAACTTTTCTTTTTATAACTCATTATACCTTTTGTTTTATATATTTTAATTCTTTTCATGAAAAACACTCTCAAATTTTTTTCGATAATCATCTATTACTCTATTATTTTTTCTAAATGAATTAGTATTGATTTTTATGGGATGATACTTCACACAATAGACATGTGCTTGTCTCTTTTCATACTATTTTTAATTATGCTAATATTTTTAGAAATTTGAAATTTTACATAAATTTTTTAAAATTACATTATTATCACCAGTGTTTCCAGAAATTCCATATTTTTACAAAAATACTTTAGGATTGCATGTTGTTCATAGATGGGCTTCAAAATAACATAATTTATGTTAACTAAAAAAATTGGCGTATTATTATACGGAATAATAAAAATTGAAATTTTAAAATGTTGATGATAATTGTGCAACCATATAGTATTTGTGTGTATTTTTAAATTTCTGAAAATAATGTCACGAATGTTCCATTATTCCTAAACAATAAGAAAATGTGACAACGGATGAAAAGAGGGTGCACAAAAAAAGTGCTTCTATAGTACACATTGGGTGCATACCACTTGAATATACCTTCTTACATAAAAAATATTTTTTTATTTTTTTATTAAAAAACGGGTGCTTATTTAAATAATAAGAAAATAATTATTTAACTGATTGATATTTAACATTTTTTATTTTTTAATTTGAGAGGGGAATAGCACATTACAATAAAATCTATTTACAAAATTATACTCGATTATTACTCCGTACCATAGCTTTAATTTGAAATGTCAAACTAATAATTTAGTGACACGTGTGCAGATATTTATGGTCGGAGTACTTCAGTGCTAGGGCTGGCTGATTCTCAAAGAACCATTTTTTTCATAACACCAAATTCGTGACGAGATTATTGACATTTAATCCTGAAATTTAAATTATTATGGACATAAATTTAGTCTATTGAGAGAAAAAAATTCTTGTTAATTACTCCTTTCGTCCTAAAACGGTCTTTCTAATTCGGTTTGCGAAGTTTGACTGAAATTATTTTCAATTCAATTTATTTGATTATACATGTAATTGATGGTGTAAATACCGTGCAAATATTAAGTATAAATGAGCGGAAGGATTGTAGGTGGAAGCACCTGTAACCCGGTTTATTATTAATGATAGTAGGACTGTTTTACAAAGTACAAGCCGTGTATGTTAATTAAAGCATGCCTCACAAATGAGACCTTTAATCCTATTTATTAAAAATACCTAAGCACGTCTCTGCTCTTCTGGCCGGTAAGTCTTCCACCGGTCAGTTTGTATGCCTTCGCCAGACGAAACCATGTCTGTGATTTCGGATCTTCTCACCCCTGACCGGTAAGACTGTCCGGATCGGCCGGGTCATAAGGCGTTGGATTTGATACCTTCCGGTCGGTACGAACCTACTGAGTGGAATCAATGGGTTATTAAATCATTTTAAGAGAGATCGAATTATTTTATTATCATCCGGATTTGGGGGGAGATGAAGTTGAACAAATCATTCAAAAAGAAAAGACAAGTTCCGTAGGAAAGAAGAAGAAGAAATAGAGTGAGGCGGCATTATTGACCGTGTGTTTTGGCTATGTTATAGGCTAATAATTTCGGAATTAATATTATTAAAATGAAACTTTTCTAAATACGAATATTAATGACGCAATGAATGATTAATATAACCTAAGGGCATTCCTCTTTTAACGCCCGGGGGCGTCAAACACCGCCCCATAGGGCTTCATTCGAGCGTTATTAGCATTGCGTCAAACGTATAACGGGCGTTTTGCCCTGAATTTCTTCCTTCAAATGGCTACAAGTCATTACAAACTTTTAAAAAAATCTTCTAGAAATTAACTTATTTTTAAAAATAAAACTCACAAACAAAATCTTTCTTCTTAAATTAAAAAAAAACTAAACACCCACAAAATCTTTTCCTCTATCTTCTTCAAATTTAAAAAAAATATTCAATTTTTTCATCTTTTTTAACATGAATCTCTTCATTAGTTTTAATTTTCCTTTGTCCGGTCTCGAGTCAAACGACCAAGTGAATATAATTTGTTTTCGAGAGAAGACATAACGAGATCAAGGCTAAATATAATTTGTTTTAAGTTTTCAATTAATGCAATTTTTTTAATTAAATGTTCTTTTTTTATTGAAGGTAATTATTTTCATTTAATGAATTATTATCGTTTAAATTTAATTAATTAATGAATTTTTATTAATTTAATTTTATAAAATATGTAATAAAAAATTAATAAAATTAAGGTTTGAAGCCCCAGTGTGAAGCCCCGGGGCTTCATACCCATTTCCAGTGAAATTGTGAGGTAAGTTAAAGCTGACGTGACAGAGAGAGAAATTTTGAAGCCCTGGGGCTTCAAAGGTATTTCCAGTACTATAAGATTCTAAAGTAACATTGAACTATTGAAGTGATGAAAGTGTTGCAATTAAATAGGAGTAATTCCCAAAAGTGTCACTTTAAAATTTAAATCTCACAAATTCATACTTTCTTCATCTCATTTTAAGTTGTATGTTGTTGTTTACATTGTTTGTCTGAAGTTATTTTCAAATAGAACAGGGCTAGAAAGTAATACGGAGTATCTATTTAAATTAGGACAAAGCTAGGAAGTACTCCCTCCGTTTCTTAAAACCCTTCCTCTTTCATTTTTTTTGTTTTTTTCTTAAAACACTTCCCCTTTCTATTAAAAAACCACTTTTACCCCTACTTTTGCATACCCTACCTATCACATCATACTTTTTCACTAACAACTAAACTATCACATCTTACTTTTACCCATCACATCAAGGGCAAAATTGGAAAGTCAACTACAATTTAACACTTCCTTATTTTTCCCCAAAGTCAAAAGAGGAACTCTTTTGAGAAACGGAGGTAGTATTACAGTATTACCTATTCATTTCGACTTTTCAAATATATATTCAAAGATAAATAAATGTAAACATATTTATATCTATATT